TTATATTTTGTGAAGTTCAAAATTTGTTTTTAAAGTTTTTCACAGTTATCTGAACATTTGTTATCTGCGTTACTCTTTGTTTGTAGATAAACTTTTATTGAAGTATCGGATCGAGTTTGAAAATTTAGCTAGATTTATTTTTCCAAAAAAAAAATAAAAATAATAATAAATAAATAAAATGACCAAAAACATTTACAATCTTTCAAAATTGATTTAAGGAAAAAAGAAGAAGAAAAGATTTCATCATAGGACCTTGCATTATTTGATCACATTGTCTAAGAATTCAAATTATAGAAAGATATTTATTTAAATGTTGTCATGTCTTATTTTAAGTCTGCTTGACCTTTTTATCAAATGCCTAATCCACTTTTTTTACAAATAGGTATAAAACAATCTGATCTCATAATTTTTGTGCACTTCAATATCATATTGAATAAATTCGTCTGAATGTTTGAACTAAGAAAGTGGAGAATGTTTATTTATTTAAAAATATTAAAAAACGTAAAGAGGATCAAAATATTGCAACCATGTGGATTATTTAATAATAGGGTAGGATTCGGGGGTGGCACAAAATTTTATCATTTAAGTTCCATTACAAAGTTGGCTAAAAGTATTCACTATTTCATTTGAAGGCAATAATTAACTTTCTCACTGCACATACAATCATTCTAAAAAAAAAAAATTTAAATTAACCCACGCCAATTTTAAAACGATATTGATTAATGTCATAGATTTATAGTAGCATCAATACATGATTCAACTATTACAGTCGAATCGAATCACTTCTTACTTTTAGTAGTTCAGATTTCTAATACATATATTGAGAACAATTAAGTAAGAATTTTTTAAGTACGGTAAAATGTCCATCTCCAAATTCAAAGGTGACGACGAATCAAGAGAGTTGAATCCCCTCCAATAACTAGATCTGGCTGATAGGGTTAGGACATGTTCAGATTAGATAGACATGTACCCCCCTCCCTCGAGGGAAAGCACAGACCTAGCTTTCGATTGATTTTTCAACGACTTCTCTATTTCGAAAGAAGACTCTAATAGGATTCTCATCGAACTCTGTAGAGTGATATATTCAATGAAACTATTTGATATGACACGTGACACTTAGAAAATGAAACTTGAAAGAGCTTAAAACTTTCCCAAATCGAGTCCTTTTAGCATATAAAAGTCAAAATTTAAACCTTTTAAATTATTCAACAATTTTATGCTTGACTAATCCAATTTATTTTAAAAGGCCCACTTGGGCTAGGTCCTGATTGTCATTGATGTATGAGAAATTAGATTTGACACAAGAGAGCTTCTGTGGACCATTATGAGCCCAAAAGCCATTCTTAACCACGCGTAATGATGTTTTTTCTTCTCATTAACCCCTTTTTGTTTTTGCTATGATTATTAAAAAAGAAAAAGAAAAATCCTCATAATTCATATAATTATTTGTCACTGTTAGAGCCACGATCCTTTGTTGTTAATGATGTGCACCGTTTCATGATTACATTGAAATTATGAATAATTGGATGGGACTGTGAAACCTTAAAATTTGTAATTATTTAAAGGGTAATTTGGAAATAAATTATAGGAATTTGTGGCTATTTAGTTTTTGTTTGGTGTAGATTAAAATCAAATTTTTAATGAATTTCGATAAAAGCGGATGAAATGTGTTGTTAAAAGTTGTGGATCATAGATAAGAAATGTGTAGTTAAATTTAATTATTTAATTTGACTTCATATTTTAATTAAATTTTAATATACACCAACCAAACAGAAGCTTAACTGATTACATCATATAAAATGTGGATTAAATATATTACCATCAAGGGATATTCTAACCAATCAAATACATTATTAATCACTTAATTTTCATGATGATGTATTTTTTTTTCCCTTAATTAACTTTTATAATAATCCTTTTCTTCTTTTAAAAAAAGTTGAACTCCAATCTTGAGGGTCCCCACCGCCCGCCCCTAAAGTTTTGTGAGGGAGATAAATCGCGAAATGTGCTCCAACAGGTCAGGAAACAAGAGTTGCCTATACACTGCACTTACAAGAAATCCAATTTCATGTCTCAGGAATCGAATCGAACCTCCACATTGTGGCTGTCAGCGAGGTGTGAGATAACCTCACTCTGTCCTTTACATCACTGGACTATGCCCCGAATCCTTTTATTCTTTTATTCTATTAACTGTTGTAATGATAAATGAGTTAGAATGCGACATATGTCCCATCTTTCAGATTTTACATGTTATGTTGGGACTAGTCGCCTCATTGATTAGCTATATTTGATAAAATCACTGTGAAAAAAGAGTTTTGAGAATTTTTTTTTTTTCCTTTTTTCAGAAAGGGAATTAGCTAGCTTTCTTCATTTGCACTCAAATAGAAAATGTTTACAGTAAATGAGGGAGGGCCGAAGGGATGTCATGTCATCACATACGTTACTCTTAAATTCTAAAAATGCTTGTCGAGCTAGCCCGAGAACTGCTTGAGATATGTGATAATGAGAGGTCACAGATATGTTATTTTCCGAGGCATAATGGCTTGGGTTTTGAACCTCCTCGATCGCATTACAATAATCAGACTTCGAGAACGATATCAAAAAATGTATATTCATTACAAACTCAATGCACTCGAGAATAGCCAAGCATTTACCGAAACGAGCATCGATATTTTCGTTAATAGATTTTAAAAAATCCATCACCATTTCTCCTTTATTATTTTCTATAAAATGCTCCATTGAGAAAGAACTCACATCAACATTCAGTCCCAGCCAGGACCTTACACTTCTTGCTTCGTTCTTCCCGGTCCAGCCCATTTGTGTTTTGAACTTTAGCGTCCGTTTGGCTCTCATTATTTCACATTATAATAAGATGATTAGTAATTTGAAGAATGTGTGATTAAAAAAGAAGAAAAAATTTTTAGGTTTGCATGTAATATGATTTTATTGAACAATGTGTGATTGATCAAAAAAGAAAAAAAAGTGAATTATAATTTAATGTGAAATAAAGGGGCTCAATGGAGACTTAATTCTAGCCAGGCTTAGGCCATCTCCAACCCTGCATCAAATTTTGCAAATCTTGCACCAAACTAAAATTCATCTTCAACCATTACATCAAAAATTACACCAAATGAACAGTATTTAATCATTTTCTTCCCTTTTTTTATTCTTTATAATTTAATTATTTGAAATATTATTTATTTAATTATTTCACAAATACATAAATTACTAAATAAATAATTATGTTAAATTATGGAAAAGATTAAATTCATTAATAAATATAAAAAAATAGAACAATTAATAGAAATATTACAACAACGAAAATATGAAATCATGCCATCAGAAAATAGTACAATGCATTTCGAATTTGGATAGACGATATTATGAAATCGCTAAATTTTTGCAGCTTAATTCTCAGAATTCATATGTTCATCCCACAAATGATCGATTAATGTATTTTGAAGTGCAATGTGAGTTTCTTTATCAATAATTATGTTAAATTACGGAAAAGATTAAATTCATTAATAAATATAAAAAACATAGAACAATTAATAAAATTATTACAACAACGAAAATATGAAATCATGCCGTCAGAAAATAGTACAATACATTTCGAATTTGGATAGATGATATTACGAAATCGCTAAATTTTTGCAGCTTAATTCTCAGAATTCATATGTTCATCCCACAAATGATCGATTAATGTATTTTGAAGTGCAATGTGAGTTTCTTTATCCTTGATTTATTTATGACGAACAAGGGTATGTATGTATCCTTATGTATCCTTTTTTTAAAAATAAAATTAGATCATCGTATGTATGTCGCTATTTAATATATTTCATGTTAACTTTAATAAATAATCGTGTTTGATGTATTTTAAATTGTTTTCGTCTTTTAATTAATTTATTAATTATTATATCTTACATTTAAAATTTATTTTAAATACAAATAATATTAATATTAATAAAAATAATAATAATAATTTATTGTATTAAAAATATATAGCACAAATGGCATAAATACCTTCAACAAATTTATTTGAGAAATGTTAAATAAGGGCAAAAGGGACATTTTACACTTGCACAATTTTGGTGAAAAATGGTGCCAAAATAGTGCAAAATTTGGTGTTGGATTGGAGCAACTTTGTACCAAAAAAGGGTGCAAAATAGTGCAATAATGTCATGGTTAGAGATGTCCTTAGGTCCCCCAATTTGAACTTCACTTCTTATAAATTAATGTCACAGTATAATCATTTATCTCCATTTTATCGGAACAATGGAACTTCTCAATTATATATCACTTGTCCTCTAAACGATTCTAATAGGTGCCCTGCTTCACTTTATCATGGAGAGTTTACACTTCGTTCGCAACCTTTGTGAAATTAACAAGTCTATCCTCAATCTTTTTTAACATAATTCATCTATAATAAAATTCTTTCCTTCTTCCGCTTTGGCCATTAAATGACAGATATGTCCTTCTCTTTTAAATAAACAAACATAAAAGAAAACATTCAAACAATTAAAAATAAGGGAAATTGTCATTCTATTTGCAAATTTTCCTTCTTCTTTTTTCTGTTGTTTTAAAGCTTTCATTTTTTTGTTTGTTTATTTAAAGAGAAAGTATTGGCACATAATTTAAAAAGAAATGATAAAAAGAAGGTTGAGAATAATTTTTTCTTTACATTTCGCAAAGATTGAGAATGAAAAATGCAAATTTACCCTTTTTAATATCAGCACAAAACCAAGGGGCACTTAAGAGTACCATTGGTGTAATCCAATGCAAGTAGCGCTGAATATCAACTTGGCTTTATATTTTTCCTTCAGATCATGTACATGTCAATCAAATTCTACTGATGGTAAAAGCAATAGGAAAATGAAAAGAGCAAGTGCAAAGTTACAAGAATATGATTCAAATAGTGTACTACTGGAAATCCTATAATGTAAATATCCAACTTTCTATCAAGTGAAAGTTACACATGCTGCGATTTACTATAAACCTGTCAAAAAATAGTGAAAATTACATTAATCTCTCATTTGTTTCAACTCTTCTTCTGGTTTCCTAAATCTCGTACAAAGTTCTTTTGAAACCAATAGAATGAATTGGTGAACCCTAGTTTTCTTTGACATATTTTACTATAACTTAAATCCTTCTACAGCAGGACTTAATGCTGCAGCACTTTTTCCCATTAACTGACAAATGAATCGTATTTCCTTCAATGTGTCGTTGAACCACACCGGTTCTTGCACATGATGACCAGGAAATATATAACAATTCCGCAACTTCCAGAGAGAACCCAATTTGACTAAGATCCAATAGTTATAGTTGTCCAGCCATTTTAATAGCAGCAACAAGTTCTTGCATGAACTGCCATTCTGAAAGTAAAGTTTACTTTTGGGGCGAGCTAATCCGACTATCTTCCAAACCAGATAATTTAGCTTCTACCCCAACTAGATCATCTTCACTGTTAGCAAAGTCAAGCTGGTTCTCTTTCGTATTTACTGCAGACGACTCTTGTTGAACATTTTGCACCTCATCTTGTCGAAGCACCTTGAACAAAGATTCGGTCTGATTGAGATCTTTTTGTAAAGAGTTTGAGTTCTCATTCATAGAACTAAAGTCGTGTGGTATAGTGAAGACCGGATTAGAAAATGCTCAATTTTATATTTCTCGTGTTCTTACAATGCAAAGGTTCAATATATAATACAATAAAGTGGAGGAGAAAAAGAAAGTAATCTCCTATCTAAGAAAAGGAAAAATTATTTCCCAACTAGTCGCTGATATCTGTCCTTTTCTACGAGTTCTCCCATGTCTGTTTTCCTTCCAGTATCCATAAGAGTGTCACTTGGTTTACACCCAAGCATGCCAATTTCGATTAACAGGTCCAAAATATATTTTCGTTGTGAAACACTAATGTCCTTCTTTGATCTGGCTGTCTCCATTCCTAGGAAGTACCGCATTTGTCCCATATCATTCACTTCAAATTCGGTGGCTAGACCCTTTTTTAGCCTCTCAATCTCGACTGTGTTATCTCTAGTAAGGACTATGTCATCAACATATACAATCAAAATAATCTTTGTCCCATCTTCAAATATTCTGAAGAATATAGTGTCATCCGACTACCCCTGTTGATATCCTTAACTTTTCAATACATTTGAAAATTTATCAAATCACGCTCTCAGTGACTACTTGAGGCTGTACGGAGACTTTTTTAGTTTTCATACCTTCTTTTCTTCTTCTTTCTTGTCGAAACCAGGCGGTAGTATCATGTAGACTTCTTCCAACTCCCCATTCAGAAATACATTCTTAATGTCAACTGGTTGTAATGACCAATCTAGTTTGCTACTAGTGATAGGAAGACCCGAATTATATTCAATTTGGCCACAAGTGCGAACGTTTCTGTGTAGTCTATGCCATAGGCCTGAGTATATCCCTTTGCAACCAGACGAGCTTTATACCGTTCTATAGTCCCATTTGCTTTAAATTTCACATTAAACACCCATTTGCAACCAACTGGTCTCTTACCTTTTCATAGTTCCACTACATCCCAAGTTCCATTTGTCTCCAGTGCTCTTATTTCTTCCATTACTGCTTCCTTCCACTTAGGAGTTTCCAATGCTTTCTGGATATTTTTGGGAATCTCTGCATCATCAAGGTTAGAGACAAAAGTTCGAAATCTTGGAGATAAACTTTTGTAGACTATGAATTTTGAGATAGGGTAAAAAGTGCATGATCGTGCTTGTTTTCTCAGAGCAATAGGTAACTTACCATCAGATGATTTTGGAGAGAGTTCATGAAAGTCTGGAGCTATCACCGGTTCTAACTCTTTTGGTGCTTCAAGTGTGAGGTCTTTCTTATACTTTGATTTTGGCTTTCTTGAATAAAGTATAATCTCTTTGTCAAGTCGTTCGATCTCATCTCTTCTTAAGTTCAAGTTGCCTTCTATAGATGGCATATTAGAACAGCTTGGTGTTATAGGTTCAAGATTTAGTATAGATTTAGATTAAGATGGATTAAGGGAGATTTCAAAAAAAAGATCTTCAACTATGTTTTCCCCTTGAAGAGAGGTTTTTTGAAAGAAAGATTTTGTTTTGAAGAAAGTGACATGAAGGCTAACAATTGCCCTTTTTGTGATTGGATCATAGCATTTATACTCCTTTTGTGTCAGTGAGTACCCAATGAATACACATTTGAGTGCATGAAGTTCGAGCTTAGTTCGATGATGGGAATGGATGTGAACAAAGGCCATGCAACCAAACACTTTAAGGGGTAAGTTTGAGCTGATACGAGAGTTAGGAAAAAATTTCGAATTTTTGGGCAGGAGTCTCAAATCTGAGGATGCGACTAGGCATTCTGTTTTTAAGGTAGGTTGCTGTGAGAATGGCATCCCCCCAGAAGGTGTTGTGCATATTAGAAGTAAACATCAGTGCTCGAGCTACCTCAAGTATGTGTCTATTTTTTTGTTCAGCAACTCCATTTTGTTAGGGGTATCATCAACACATGTGCTTTGGTGGATTATCCCATTGTCCAAAGCGTAGTTTTTCAAAGTATGATTGAAATATTTTGTGCCATTGTCCATGCGCAAAATCTGAATTTGTCTGAAATTGAGTTTGGACCATTGAATGAAAATTTATGAATACTGATCAGAAGTCACTTTTTTTATTTAACATACAGACCCAACAGATTCCAGTATAGTCGTCAATGAATGTAACGAATCATTTGGTGTGGGTGCGATTAGAGGTTCGTGAAGGTCCCCATAGGTCATTGTGAATTATTGTAAATGGTTTAGATGGTTTGTATATGGATCTTGGGAATGATGAAAAATGATGTTTTAGGAGTTCACAAATCTCACAATTAAGATCAATAGATATTTTATTCGAAAATATTGAACGTAATACATGTCTCATATGTTGAAAGAGTTGGGATGACCCATTCTAAAATGCCATAAAAGAATTTCACTATCCTTAGGAACAAATGCAAAATCACAACTAACAAATCAACGTTGTTTACTCACATCAGTTTCGTCAAAGTACTAAAGCCCCCACACTCTTTAACAATGCCAATAGTCTTTCCTAATGATAGGTCCTGAAAGACACAATGAGAAGAAACAAAATTAGCGAAACGGTTTGAGGTTTTCGTCAATTTACTAATAGAATCAAATCGTACCAAACCGACTTAAGTGGTTATGATATGGCAAAAATATTGATGATTCGGTGATGATTTTGATCGAACCGAACCGTTGCCATCTCTATGCCTCACCACTCTCCTCAGAAGTCTCTTCCACAAGATTGCAAGGAGACAACCAACAGTTCTCAAACTCCAGAAGATATTTATTTTTATTATTTTTTCTGCATTTCTTCTCCTCTAGATTTTAATTTTTTTTTATTTCTCGAATTCTTCTTATTTTAGTATTACTTTTAAAAAAAAAAATACTATTTTTTTGGGTTTCTTGTGAGGCTTGAACCTCAATCCTCGTCTCTTTATCAAGCATACATCTCAAAACAAAAACTAACAAAACTTATAGTCTATGTGGATAACATAATACTCACTAGTAAAAGCGGAGAGATAGAAAGGTATGTTGGCTTCAGAGTTCGAAATCAAAGACCTAGGACAACAAAGGTATATTCTTGGAATTGAAGTTGCAAGATCAGCAAAGGGGATTTTCCCATTGTTTGACATCCATTATAATAAGAAATTTTGGTAAAATGTATTATGGAATAGTATTTTTGGAAGAATGTGTGGTTTTAAAAAAAAAAAATTTATTTACATGTACTATTATTTTATTGAAGAATGAGTAGTTGAAAAGAAGACAGAGAAAGATGTATTAAAATTTTAATGGATGTCGAACAAGTGCTTTTATTTCTCAAAGGAAATCCATCATGGACTTGTTAAATGGAACCGAGATGCTGGGATGTAACCCGATTGACATCCCATAGACCAGAACCATAAACTTGGAGAAGTAACAGGAGACTTTGTTGATAAATGAAGATATCAAAGATTTGTGGGAAAATTGATTTACTTCTCTCTTACATGACAGGATATAACTTACACGGTTAGTGTAGTTAGCCAGTTAATCCACTTGCAACAAGAGTGTCACTTAGAGAATGTACGGAGAATATTGAGATATTTAAAATCTACACCTGGTTATGGCTTAATCTTTTAAAAGAATGGACAAGATACAGATTGGGAAAGTTCAATAATAGATCGACGATTGACAACCGGATCTTGCACTTTTTTAGAGTCAATCTAGTGACAAGGAGTAAAAAAATAACACGTAGTGGCTTGGCTAGATCAAATGCAGAAGCTGAGTTCAAAGCTTTAGCTCATAGCATATGTGAACTCTATGGTTGAAGATTGTACTTGAGGTAGCCTTTGTGAGTGTATTGTGATAATAAGGCAGCCATCAGTAGAGCTCAATAATTCGGTACATCATGACTATACCAAACATGAGGAGATAGATAGACACTTCATCAAGGAAAAGATTGACACCAACAAGATTTTCATGACATTTGTACCTTTCAAAGGACAACTTGCAGATATATTCAGGAAGGATGTTAATGAAGCTACTTTTTAGGAGTATTCCATGCAAGCTGGAACATACAAATATCTTTAAACCAAATTGAGGAAATGTATTGCTTTCCTATTTTAGGAGATTATATGTTGACTAATCATCGACATGTAATTTATAGGACATGATTAGATTATTTCCATTTTTGTCCTAAAGTTTCCTATTTTCAACGAAAGTATGTTATTATTGTAAGAAGAAACGACATATCAGAGTTGATTGCTATTCTTTGAAAGACGGAAATAAAGCCATTGATGCTACTGATAAATGAAAGCAATCTGTTAACACAACAGAGTCTGATGTTGTGAAAGGTGAGCAAAGTGAATGAGAACTTCTTATGATTTCTGAAATGGGTTCCAAACCTTGTGAGGAATGAGCTCTTGACTCGGCATTTACTTTCCATATGTGTCCCAACAGGGATTGGTTTACAACATATAAAAGAGTTTCGAAAGGTGCAGTGATTATAGAAAACAACGTGCCTTGCAAAATTGTCGAGTTTGGTATAGTCAGAATCAGAAAGTTCAATGGTGCTATTAGAACACTTGCAGATGTCACGCACGTTCCAGAATTGAAGCGAAATATCATATCTTTATCGTTGAGTAACTTGATTCAAAGGGTCATAAATACACTGGTGAAGGTCGAGTTCTAACTATGAGCCAAGGTGTTCTTGTCGTCATGAAGTGATAGAAAAACTCTACACAGTTGCACATTTTGCAGGGTTCCACAATTTCAAGGGATGCAATAGCTTTTACTTTTCTTTAGACTGATAAGGAAGTTATTAAATTTTGGCATATGCAAGTTGGGCATCTGAATGAGACTGGTATGACAGAATTGAGTATGAGAAGACTTCTTAATGGACAGAAGACCAGATGAAGTTTTGTGAGCATTGTACATTTGAGAAACAGTAAAGAGTCAAATTCACTAAAGGAAGAAACAACACAAAGAGAACACTTGAATATATCCATTCAAATCTTTTAACGTGTAAGGGTGCCTTCAAAAGGAGGTATTTATTACTTATTGATAGTGATTGATGACTTTTCTAAGAAAGTTTGGATATTCTTTTTAAAACAGAAAAGTGATGTATTTGGGACATTCAATGAGTGGAAAACAATGAAAAAAGCAGACTGGAAAGCAGATGAAAAGTCTATACACAAAAAATAGGTTGTGGTTTTATTCAGATTAATTCAATAGCTTCTGCATGATTGAAGGCATTTTGAGACATTTGACAGTGCTTGGAACTCATCAACAGAATGGTGTGGCAAAACAAATAAATAGAACCTTAATGAAAAAGGTTCGTTGTATGTTTTCAAATTCTGAGTTGCCTAAGATTTTTTAGGCTGAAGCTACAACTACAGCTTGTTTTCTAATTAATTGCTCACCCTCAGTTGCCATTGAGAAAAAGACATCAAAAGGGGTATAATCTAGTAAACCTTCTTGTTATTCTGATCTGAAAGTATTTGGGTGTCCTGCTTTTGCTCATGTGAATAATGGAATATTGGAGCCTAAGTCCAGAAAGTGAATTTTTTGGGTACAAATCAGGTGTGAATGGGATATAAATTGTAATGTCCTAAGATAAGAAAGGTGGTGGCTGATAGAGATGTAATATTTGATAAATTTGCTATGGTTCAAGGTTCACCTCGTGTATATTCTAATAAAACTGAGAAATAGAATCATTCAACTCATGTGGAGCTGCAAATTGGTCCAGGGGACAATTAGAGGTCAGAATAGTCTATTACAGATCAATCTAGCTCATAGCTGACAGACAATAATATTTTTCCTACTTTACCTACACCAGTAACAACACTACATCATTCAATTGCTAAGTGTAGATCTCATAGACAGATTAGACCCTCACAGAAGTATGGAGAAGCATATTTGGTAGCTTATACATTGAGTATGGCTGAAAATATTAATTTCACTGAGGAGCCTGCTACATATTCAGAGGTGGTCAATTGCAGTGATTCTAACATATGGTCAATATGTAGAAGGAGATGTAGTCATTGAATAAAAATAATACTTGGGATTTGGTGAAATTACCGAAGGATGAAATGGTTATTCATTGTAAGTGTGTTTTCAAAAAAAATGAAGGCATATCAAGGATTGAAGATGGAAAGTATAGGCCAGATTGGTGGCAAAGGGCTACGACCAAATTTTAGGTGTTTACCTCACAGATGTGTACTCGCTAGTTGTAAAATATAGTTCTATTCGGGCTTTACTTTGAGTAGTGGCTAAAAATGACTTGAAGCTTAAGCAAATGGATGTTAAAACAGCAATCTTAAATGGAGAACTTGAGGAGAGCTTTACATGCAACAACAAGAGGATTTCATAGTTTTCGAAACGGAAGACTATATGTGCTTGTTGAAGAATGCTTGTTTGTATTTTGTTAGAAATACAAATGGAATCGTTGGGTATGTGGATTCAGATTATGTAGGGGATCTTGATAAGAGGAGATCATTTACAGGGTATGTGTTTACCCTTGAAAGCTGTGCTATCAGTTAGAAAGTTACTTTCTAGAATACATTAGCTTTGTCCACAATAGAGGCGGAGTACATGGCCATGCAGAGGCTTATAAGGAGACTATGTGGCTGATAGATTGATTGGTGAAATCAGTGAAGACTTGCAGATTTCTACAGTATATTGTGATAATCAGAGTGCTATTTTCTTAACTAAAGATCATATGTTTCACGAGTGGACTAAGCACATTGATGTGAAGTATCATTTTGTGCGTGATGTGATTGCTCGTAGTGATATTGTAGTGGGCAAGGTTGATACCAAGAATAATCCTGCTGATATGATAATGAACTACTTTCCATTACTAAATTTGAGTATTTTTTTATGTACGTGGGTGTCCGAAATAGCTTACGTGCACCTCAACAAATCCCATTAGACCCTGAAGTTTATAGCCGAGTATTCACCTTATTGGCCCTGAGGGGACTCGAATTGATGACCATTGGAGAGTAAACCCAAGACCTGATCACTGAGCTACTCCCCAGGGTTATTACTAAATTTGAGTATTGCTTGAATTTAGTTGGTATTTATCATTGATTTAGCCATTGGGGCTTGTTTGGAAGAGGAGCGGTGTTTACTTGGATATGTGTTTTGAATTACTTGTGTTGAAAGTTGGTTTAAGGTGGAAATTTATTGTGGTGTGACCCAAATTCCATGTGATTTGGTGTTTGGTTAAACAAAAGAAGTCTAAAGAGTCTTGGCGTTGGGAGTCGTAATTAATAAAGATTAAATTTCATCAAAGATTGGAAGTTTAGCTTAGAGAAGGACTTAAGATGGAGAAAGATACCTTGGAGTCATAATTACCGAAAATGGGCGCTACAACGACATGAAGAGGAAGAGGAGCTGGAGCCCAATGTCGCAGCATCGGCACCCCTACTAGCGACGCAATGCCAACCTTGGGTGCCGACTTAGGTGACTGGTTTATCCCCATTTTTTAGAATTTATGTTTTCTTGTTCATCTTGAACTCCAAAAAGAGGCTTTCTATATATTCCATATTGTTGTATCTCCAGAAATATATTCAACAACAACTTGAAAATTAGAGAGCTTAGATTTCAATTGCGAATATTGAGATCTTGATATTGTAAACACGTTCATTATTGATTATAATGAATTTCTTCTCCTCTGTTTCCCATATTGAATTTTCACATAAATCTTGGTATTTTTATTTTGTTCTTGTTTCTTTCATTATATTAATTCATAACAACACCCATGTGTCCACTATCAGTGAAGAACAACTTAGATTAAGAAGTGAACAAATTCAAAGATTATACATGTTCATCCATTTGTTCTTTTTAGATCATGTTAAGAAATGTTTGCTATTGGCAGACAGTCGTAAATCAGCAGAAATTCCAATAAACTATATTGGGTTTTATCATAACATCGTATTTATCGCCAATGATATATTTCAAAATTGAATTTGACTTATCAATTCAAAGGCATGCACTTGAAACCACCAAGCCAAGGAAATTGTAGAAAGCCCAAATTAAAAATTTAGGGATAACCAAATAGAAAATGAACCTACAATTAAATCCAAGTTATTAAGTCGTTTTCCAAGAAAAAAATACCCAAAGCATCCCAATTATAATTATACCTACAATTGAACAGGGTGCTATTCCTTGTCTTCAAAATCAAAACAACAAGAACAAAAATACAATACTGGGAATAACATTTCAAAACTGTAAAGCTCAAACCTGATATATAAGGGCGTCCCGGTAGTGCTGAAGGCGGAGATAGACTTCGCCGAGGGACTGAGACGTCAGAAGCACAAGTACTTGACGGAGACATCGAAATCAACACGTAGCCATTACTCACCGCTGTTCCTCAGTATCTCGCCAATCACGTTGGCCCACCGTGCCTCCTCCTATAGGTTCCCCACCTCCGCCGCGCTCTTGCAAGCCCTCTTGGTGGCACTCAACTGGTGGCTTGTTTCGTCATTTTGTCGTATTTTAGATTCAATCTATAATATCTAAAAGAAGGATTCAATATGTTTTCTAAGGGATTTTTGCAGCTGATCGTGAGATGAATATGGTGGCGGGATTTTGGAAATGTTCAAAAGTGAGAAATGCAAATCCCGCAAAAATAGGGTTCTGAAAATAAAAAATATAAATAAGAAAGTAAATTAATATAATTATATGTTTGCCCCAGATCTATGCAAACATGTTAAATTTACCCCTTTTTAATTGATGGTTTACGAACAAAGTCATTTTTTATTAAGCCATTATTTGATTTTCATTATTTTCAAAATATATTTTTCTTTCTCTTCTTTTTGATAACACATTTTTCAATAGAATAATATTATATACAAACTAAAAATTTTTCTAATTTTTTAACCACATATTTTTCATTAATATACTATTTCAAAATACATTCTTAGTCAGATATGTGGTTCAAATAGACGCTATCCTCTTGTTTGGTTTTAAATGTAGATTTTGATAAAAGTTGGAAAAAATATGTGATCAAAAAGTTGTAAATTTCATAATTTTTTTTGTTAAAATTAATTGTTGACTTTAACTTAGATTCGAATATAATTTTTTATTTGAACCAAACATGGACTAAAATGAAAGTTATACCTTTATCTACGCAAAACCTATCCTACGACCACTCAAAATTTCGGAAGATTATGCTCAAACTCAATTAATGAACTGGTTTACTAAGACCATGTTTGGTATTATTAAAATATTAATTTTAATCTAAATTAAAGTCAATAAATAATTTTAACTACACATTTTATGTGGCTCACAACTTCTCAATCATACATTTTATTAACTTTTATCAAAATTTACTAAGAGCCTGTTTGGAAGTGATTTCTTCCCAAAAAAATTAATTTTTTGACCGTTATTTCACTATTTCAGCCGTCATATTTGACTTCTTCTCTCATATGTGGACCTCACTTTTCTACTAACGGTCAAAAAATTAATTCTCAAAATCACCCCCAAACAGGCTCTAAAAGACTAATTTTAATTCGCACCAAATTGAGGTTAAGAACCATCAATGAAAATTCATCTACTTTTTGGGATATTTTGTTGTCGTTTGCAATTAAATTTAGAAAAATTGGTACACATAGTCCCTAACATATGGTCCTTCTGAGCAAATGGTCCCTAACATATCATTCTTGGCATTGACATCTCATCCCATTGATTATGTGCAAAAAGTCATTTTTGAATAGTTTCTGTCCATTCTTGTGGACATAAATATACATTTAAAGCATCATTTGTGCAAATTTCTTAATTTTAATCTTTATAATATTGACTTGAAACAGTAAAAACTTCAAGAATATACCTAGCAATTACTAGTATTTACAAAATAAAGCTGGTCTTAGAAAAGTTTTTATTGTCAGCTTCTCTCTCTTTTTTTCTCGTGTTGTGCATTTGGGGAATATGGAAGCATCCTTTTACATAAAAAAATCTAAGCGCGTAAAATGTGTAGGACCTTGACTTGTCTTCGTCGTTATTAGCTCAATCATCTTTGAAGTTACCAGGCAATTGCGGGGGAGAATTGACTTTGACAAAACAAACGCTTGTTGCCTTTCTTTAGCAGAGAGGACTGGAAAAGTTTGAGCTTTTTTTCTCTTCCTCAACGCCATCCATTTCTATACCAAACAAGTCATCAGCATCCCCTCCCTCCAGTTTATCCCAAATGTTTAATCTAGTCTTCTTCTTCCTTTATCCTCTTCTTTGCACCTTAGCAGTTCATTCCGCAGATAATTACCTCACAGGGGATATAGCTATTAACTGTGGTTCAACTGGCATTTCAATCGCCTTCAATAACAAGGAATGGACTGGAGATATAACAGAATCAAAATCTACTTCCTCACTAGTGATAAAAGGCTCATCCACCGCTTCAACTGCCTTCCATAATTTCGTTTCAACAGATCCCATTCCCTACAAGACAGCTCGAATCTCTCGCAAGCAATTCTCCTACACGTTTCAAGTTAGTCCAGGTCAGAAACTTATTCGTCTTCACTTCAGTTTGGCTTCTTACCAACGTTACAAAAAATTTAAGGATTTGTTCACTGTCGAAGCCGGGGCTTTCACCCTCCTTAGAAACTTTAGTGCTTCACTAACTGCTGATGCCCTCGGCGTGAAGTCTTTGGTTAAGGAGTATTGCATGAATATAGAACAGAATCAACCTCTGAGTATAATTTTCTCTCCTGAACACAGTCAATCTGATAAAACATATGCTTTTATAAATGGAATAGAGGTATTATCCATGCCTAGTGATCTTTATTACTCTCATGATGATGATGATCTTGGAGCCCGAGTGGTTGGCCAAAAATCTCGATTCTATGTCGATAACAGCACTGCGCTTGAAATTATGCAGCGATTAAATTTCAAATGGGACCCTATTCCTTATCTTGGCATGTTTGGGAAATGGGCAACAGTTCCAGATGAAAAGATCAAAGATTTTACCTGGAAAACGTCTGTGGATGTTGGATTCGGATACTTGCTCAGGCTTCATTTCTGCGAGAGGGGACTTCAGATGGCAGAGACTAGAAACAGCGTATTCAGTGTCTCCATAAATGACATGATTGCAGAAACTAATGTTGCTATTGGCAAAGAGAGGAGCGTCGTCAGTGGAATCCATTTGCACAGAGACTATATGGTGATGGTGAAAGGAAACAAAGAAGATGGCAGGCGTGATCTATCAATTTCCCTGCAGTTAAAGGATGAATTGGTAACTGAACTCTTCAGAGGATTGGAGATATTGAAGTTGAGCAACCACGATAATAGTCTTGCAAGTCCAAACCCCTCCCCTCCCAGACGATCTTCAAAATCTGCTACAGTGCAAAATTTACTGTCATTTTTTGGTCATGGAAATGCAATTGCTACTGGTGCAGTAATTATAATCTCCCTAGTCAACATCATTACTTATAAGTTGCGGAAAATTTGGGAAGATAACTGTACCGACTCTGGATACAAGCCATCAGGCTTGACTGAAAAACTATGTCGTCCTTTTTCGCTTACTGAGATCCAATCAGCTACTGAGAACTTCAATGATGCACTTGTTATTGGGAGGGGTGGATTTGGCAAAGTATACAGAGGATTTATTAGTAAGGAGCAAAAGATTGTAGCCATAAAACGATTAAAATCCAATTCCAGGCAAGGGGCGCGCGAGTTTTGGACAGAGGTCGAAACCCTTTCGCAGCTCCAACATACTAATATCATTTCTTTAATCGGATACTGCAATGAATGCCAAGAAATGATCCTTCTCTATGAATATGTTCCTAGTGGCACATTGGCTGACCATCTCTTTGGACTCAGTGGACAGAGTGATTATCACTCCTCTCTCTCTTGGGAGCAGCGACTGAGGATCTGCACTGGGGTAGGCCGAGGATTAGACTACCTTCACACTGGCACTGATCAAGGAATCATACACCGTGACATAAAGGCTTCGAACATCCTGCTGGATGAAAATTTGGAGGCTAAGATTTCAGATTTTGGGTTGGCCAAAGCTCGAAAGAGAAATCGGGTGCAAAGCTATGTCAGCACTAACGTTAAAGGTACATATGGGTATTTTGACCCAGACTATTTCAGAACTCGTAGATTGAGAAGGAAGAGTGACACATATGCCTTCGGGGTTGTGTTGTTGGAAGTACTGTGCGAAAGACCAGCACTGGATCGAAGAGTCGAAGAGGATAAGCAGAGGATCCTCGCCATTTGGGCTCAAGATTGCATCAGCAAAGGAGAAATTGATCGCCTTGTTGCTCCAAGTCTGAGGGCACAAATATCACCAGAGAGCCTGATGACATTTCTTGAAGTTGCTAAAAGATGCTTGCATGACGAACCAAATAAACGGCCTACAATGGCTCAAGTTGTGGTACAACTTGAGTCTGCACTGGAGCAACAGGAAAGCTCAAAATCTTCTGCTCCAGAGATAACTAGTTCTGATAGTGTCGTGCCTCGTGCTGGGGAAACTCTACATTCAATTAACACCGAGATAGAAGAAATGTCCTCTGTGGATGAGCAGAATATGCCACTCTCTCTGACTGAAAGAAGCAAAATGGTTCAGTATACCGAGCCATCAGGCAGAGAAGCACAAGTGTATAAGAAAAACAAAATTGCTTATAAGCTACCACGATTTCGGCTATGGAATGCATTATGGAAAAGGGCAAACATAATAAAGAAAACCCATTTATCAATACCAGGTATTGTAATGACTGCATACAAAGTAGATAACATCCTCGTAATTGGAAGTGATTTCAGATGGTTGTCTCAGCAACTCACCCTAAGCTCAATAAGAAGAAATAGATGCAGTTTAATACATTACATATTCTTGTCTTACGGTCTGTTACCTGTCTACCTTGTGGATTTATTATGACAAAGCTTACAAAGAATCATTTATAATTGGAGCAGCCACCCCCGTCGTCTCCCGCGAAGGTGTATTAAGGGTAGTAGCTTTACCCGGACCGCAATTTCTGACGTGAGAAAGGAATAGAATAGCGTAAGGTCCAACCTTTTTCATCTAAGGGGTAAATAAGCTGTTAGGACCGAGGGCAGCGGTTAGAGTTTGCTTTGTCTTACCTCTGATTCTCCTTCGGACCCTCATTCTAATTTTGCTTTTCGTATTATGGCTTGTTGCTTTAGATAGCAAGACGGTATGCAATCAATTACTAGGAGGGCAGTCTACCACAAGATCGAGTTGGAGCCTGAAGCCAAACCCCCAAGCTAGAAATTAATCTTAGGCTTGTTTTAGACATCTATCTTATATAAGTTCTATTTGTGTGTTTGCGTGAAGGCAAAGTCTTAGACTCTCAAATATTATTATCAAAATGCTTCTCATTTTTTGATGTTTCAGTGAGTCTAGAAATGGAAGATAGCCTAAAAAGGATTCATACGATCCCAAAATTATTGGAAGAAAAACGTAGTATTTGTTTGTTGTTTTAGTTGTGAAACAATTTTTGTCAATAGTGGATATTTATGTCTCCTGAAATTTTTCAAGTAATAAAAATTGTATGTAAGGTAGCTTATAACTCAAGCTCTTGATTGAGGCTGCTTTGTCGCTGTAAGTGAACAAGTCAAGCTTGGTTCCTTTGATAATTTGAACGGACAA